GGGGGGGGGGGGGATTGGCTTGAGAATTGCAGATCGCTCGACGGTTTCGGCCATGCTTCACAAAGCAATACCCACTTGTACAACGCTTATGACCGGCCAGTGATGCTTGCCTGGCGGATCCAAAAACGCGCCCAACAAGCACACCGAACACGCGTTTGCATCAAGACCCAACTGAATCAGTTCAAAACAAAAAACAGCTCCGGGAAACAGCATTCCATGCATCAGGACACCCAGGAACACATGTCGACCAAAATCTCACAACGGCTGGCTCTCAGAGGATGATATTGTCTTGTGCTCACGTAAATCGGTCCGTCACCATCGGGGATGGAGTCACCACGTCCGACCAGGGTGTCCCCTCCGCCGCCCATATCCTACCTTCCCCAACAACGGAACAAGTTGTGGACGTAGGATTAGGGTATTTCAACCTCAAAGTTACCGCGCTACGGTTGCACACAGCGTTAACGCAACGATGACCTTCCTGCAGCATGAGCTACGTTGTTCTACATTTCCCCTTTGGCCTTGTAGTGTTTCGTCTAGCGTTTCCTGCATTTTTGTTGCTGACCTTATCTGCGTCTCTTGGTTGTGTTGTAGTACGTCATATCTTAGGATCGTTTGCAGTGATCAGGAACATTCGTTCTGGTAGTCGGGATGGCACGGAGCACACACAGGTCGTCAACGGTTTTTAAAGCGAAACAACCCGGAACACCAAAATGACAACAAATACACGTTGGTGTTGGGTGCGACGGCAGCATTTGTGGGAAGCGAAGCTTCATTGGTCGGACCACTAATCTATGAGCACGTGCGGGTAAATAGGCCCGCACGTAGGTGCAGGGTGACAAACACAAAACCGAGCGGATTTCAGCAGGATCGACGCTGCCGGGTACCGTACGATAACACACCCACGAAATATGGCACAACCCCTTTCAAAGAGACCAATGACGGCGTTTTTCAAATCCCAACCGAGGAACCGAGTTGTTCGGGGACCGAGTCAATTCGGTAGTTCGACGCTTGTCTCGCTGTTGGAAACGGGTCCCACATGACGTTAGGCAGTAAGTACATCTCGCCCACGGCTGTAGTGTGTTTCCTGAAGTCCGGGTTCCACGCGGAAGGTATGCAAACCACGACGATACACCGTGGGGTGGGCTTGGAAGCAAACCAATGGGCAATTGCTCCAAGAATTGAGTTGAGTACGGGGGGGGGGGGGGGCGGGGG